CACGCGTGTTCAGCTCGTTAGGCTTAACGAACGAGCCGAACACGAACTGTTCACGAACAACGAGCCAAATTGACAGCCCTAATTATGAATTTTATGAAATTTGATTTTATAAATTTAAAAAACCATAACAGGGGGAATTTAAATGCACCCCACTCCATTGTTATTCATTTACTAATCTCATGCCTAAATTCCCTTTTCTATAAACTAACATCCAACTTACAATTTTTCGGAGGTCCAACTGTCAGATGACAGCATGGTGTCTTTCGAATGCAATATTTTATCCTATTTAACAGTGAAATCCACATGTTCATTCTTAGAGAGTGTGTTGATCTTGTAAAAAGAAAAATGGGTGTGAGTTAGGTAAGTATATAATAATTGAGCGTTATTTATGTAAATATACAAAAAGTAAAAAAAGAAAAAGGACAAAACAAAGTATCCTAAATTACACATGCAAAACTGTATCAAATCACTATGCGTATGTGTATGATCTCACCTTATCATGCTCAAACAATTTATTTATTTTTTATTCAATGGGGGCAAGAATGCAAGATCATACATATAATTCAATTCTGATTGTATTTTACGTCACCCATGTAATATTTTTTCGGTTTTAAGGCAGCTTATGTTCAATGCTTCTCTTCCGTATTTCTCTCGTTTGCGGAATTCGGCTCACATCTCATGCGCTGGTAAGAAAGCGATAGATCCGATCATTGCTTTATTTGGTGGACTGGACGTACTACTGATGGCTCTAGGTTTATTGAACCCAACCCTGCAAAGCATCGCCGGAGTAAGAAACCCTATTTTGTAATCTGGTCGATCGCCAGCAATTCATGGAAGGGCTGCCATGGTGGAGGATGAGACTCTCATATCGGAACGCAACTATTGTCTTATGCTTCCTTAATGTCGTTGCGGCCGTCTTCCTGCTCCGGGGATTCTTTAGCTTCGCCGACAAGAGAATTGCCCGCGCTAACAAAAGTGATATCGGTGAGTAGTTAGTCATGGTGTCTCCTTATATCTTTTCATTTTATTATATTAAAGGCGGCGCTGATTGTTCTGAAGTTTAATTTGGGGCAATGTTGAATTAGATGAAGATAAATGTCTGCAAGTGTAATGGTTGAAATAGGATCGCATTTTCTTTCTGGATTATGGTATGATGTTTGTCGAGTGTGATACTATGCATGTCAATAACAAATACTGTAGATTGTTGTTTTAGCCGCTGAAATGAATCACGTTCTTGCTGAAAATTGTCCTCCCTCGAACTGATCAAGTTTATACCCAGTATTTTGGCCATAGCTGATGCATACTGTTTCTTTGTTTGAACTATCTCAAGAGTTAATCATCAAACAAAAGAAATGCAATCATGTGCAGTATGCTGCATTTTTCATATTTTATAAGAACAATGCTGAAGTTGTAACTAGCATCACTCTGATTAGATAGTCACCTGCTTTTAATCACTCTAATTAAGCTTTGTCTTTTAAAATTCTTCGGGATGGTTTGATGAGTGCATCCTTTGCCATTTTATTTAAATACCACTTTATCACTCTGTGTTAATGAAACATAGTATGCCTAGCACTATTTATATGGAAATTTTGCCTCTTGCTGGGCAGTATAATAATTTTTCATATTTCAGTGGAGGATGATAAAAATGAGAATATGAGATGAACTTGCAACAACATTTGGAATGAAAAATAAGTAAATGATTATGTTGTAAGAAGAGTTAGAGTTGTATCAAAAGGTTTAGTTAGACATGTTCAATGAAGGGCAAATGTGCCATTAGATAAATTGATAAAATTAATGTTAGAGGATTTGAGGTAAGAAGGGGTAGAACCTGAATCGATAGCAGTGATTCAAAATAATTTATGAATAATAAGTCCGTCACCTTATACAACATTTTATAAAAATAAAAAAAAAAGAGGATTCATAAAGCTACTTAAATGAAAAATGATACTGAGGACGGTGTTGGCTTTGATTTATTACAGTCAAAAAAAGGGATTGAGTTAGAAAACACAGATCATGTAATGAAGCCTATGTTCGTTTGATGGGTTAACTAGACTAGTTGTGCTCATATCTAGGTAAATATACTACCGCGCGAGCCTTGAGCTACGAAGAATATTAACTTTCATATAAGCCAACACCATCATCATTATCACGGGCCAAACCTATTCTTCATTTGTGGAATGCCTTTTCATTGTTATCATAAACAGGACTAAGAACACTATCACGTTCAAATTCATGGGTGCTAATGATATGAAAGAATCCTCCATTAATAATGATAGAATATTACATGAGATGTTGGCGGTGCTACTTCTTTAATTTGTAGTTTCCTCGAGGTAAGCTTTTACCAATGATTCGCAGGCATCATCGGCTTCATTTGGATCTACCTAAACTTTGTCATCTCACTTATAATGGAGGATTCCATTGTTAGATAGCGCTTCTTTATACTCAATAGGTTATGAAGTGGAATGTGTGAATTATTTATCAGTTGCAGAGACAAAGGTGGAATGATTGAACTTGACCAAACATAGGGTATGATTCGATCAAATATGAATTTTGTTTGATGCCTGACACTGGCTTATACTTAGAGGATTCAAGTTTGATGCCTGACACGGGCTTATACTTAGCGGCTAAGTCTTGTTTCTACTCACCTAGGATTATGATCCCAAGAATGAGATTGAGATAAATAGGTTGCATACACTGAATCATACTGTTGGAAAGCAGTTGAGATGATTAGCCGGCAATCCTACCCATGAAGTTTTATTCATAATAAGGATTTGGAGCATTCCTGTATAGTCTAGAATATGACTCATTTGTATAAGAAAAATTATTATAAATCGTCATTGGGATGGATAATACAATATGGTTCAAAGTTCATAATTCAGAGCCTGTTTATTTTATTTAATCCTGAATTTTGGGATTTTTTGGCATTAAGATCCCCAAATTTGGCAAATGATTCTTCTTGAAAATGGTTTGTCTTGTTTAGTTAATAAAAGTCAACCATGCATACATAAGATTTGGATGTAAAATGACAAAAAAATTTTGAAATATTAAGAGCAAAACATGAGGACAAAAAAATGTAGTGGTAGAGAAATTTAACTTAGTATCAAAATATAATGTTTCATCATGAAATGCTTTGATATTTAAAATAAGTTCTTATGAATAAATACAAGATTTAATTGAGTGAAGATGATTTTTTTCACTTAATTTAACTAATCGTATGTGTAGCATTTGTTACCATGATAACCTTACACAAAAATTTCCAATTTGGGAAAATTGAAGTTATTGATTTTATTTGGGCTATCAACTAAAGATGATTTGATTCAAACAATTTTTGGGGTGATTGAAAAGGAACTGAAGATCAAGTTTTAAGTGAATTGGAAGTTGTTTGATAATATAATAAAATACAAAGCTAAAATGATGTCATGTGATGTGATGCATGAATTTAACACCCAACACGTATCTCATGAAAAGCACTAACTTTAATACTAATTTGACACATGACAAGTTGGAATGATTTTTATAAGTTTTAAAAATATATGTTCACCATTTGTTCATGCTAGAATTCATTACACCATGATTAACTAGTACTTTTTGATTAACAGATAGAATTATAAGTTTAAAACGACAACCGTTTTTAATGCTTTTATTTGAGAGCAAGAGTGATTAACTAAAAAAGATGAATCTCAAAGGAGAACGAAGAACAATAGAGTTATCAAAATGAAATTCCTACTGTCGAAACTAGAATAATTTTGAATGTAACAAGTTATAAAAAGATTTCTTTCATCGGAGTCCTTTGTCATGGTTTTGATCTTGCTTACTTGGAAGTTCATCTGCGAGCATCATCACTCGCACTTAACAATTCATTTACTCGGGTGGAAGAAAACGCAAACGGATTTGCTCAAGAACTATTTTCATTTACTTCATCATCCAAAAATCAAATGCTTAACATTATTCAAGTGCTTATCACAAAATTTTCTTTATTTATGATTGTGAGGGAGGCCAAAAAATACTGAGATAATTACTCAAAAATCTTTTTCATTTCACTTTATTTTCAAAAAAATCAAATGCTTAGCAGTATGAAGTGCTTATTATGACAAAGTACTCTTTATTTATAAGGTAAGGGAAATACTAGAATAAATTGGCTTTTTACATACATAGCACCTGAAACATTGATATTTACAAATCTAGCACCCTCTTTCATCCATTTTAAAATTCTCACTCAAATATTAAAATTCATGATAAAACCCTAACCCGTATTTTCCATCTTTTATGAAATTCTCATTAGTTTGATTGTGACACTCGTAAATATATCGGTTTAGTAGTTCAAAATATTGCCTGAGTGCTAGATTCTATAAATAGCAATATTTCAGGTACTATGTATGTAATTATCACAAAATAAATATTCAAACCCACCACCATACCATAACTACTACAAAATTCAAACTTACCACCAAGTTTATACATTCCACCAAGCCTGATAGCATAAAGGCTCAACGTGAACCTGACTTGAAAATAATGAAATGCTAAAGTAGCTCTAAGAAAGAAATATGTTTTTTTGACTGCATAAATGTGCAGCATTAAATATTTATATTTAATTTTTTATCTATTAACTAGAGCGATATTTACAGCAAGTGATCATGATACTGAATCCCTACTGAGTGATAAATCAACTTCTCATTAACCTTATGGATGTAATGAGCGCATCAGACAATCAAAAATACACAACAAGCCATTTAAATAGTCCATCATGTGCTTAATTGCTATTGTAGATTCATTCCTATGATGAATTTTGATATATTGCCCACTGCGCAAATCAATTTTGAAAAATATAATGACATATAATATAAAGAATGTCAACTACTAAGTATCAAGAATAAGTATTTGTCATGATATTATTAAGTGTATGAAAATCCATACACTTACATTGAATAACCATCGAGAATATGTGCTTGGATAATGCAAAACTCTCTTACATAATCATTTCTACATTAGTTCATTTACTTGAAGTTTGAGTTCAACATGCTTATTGGGGTCCATTCAATAATGTGCGAAATTTGGAATTTGTTAACTCAATATGAAATTCATGGTGTGCTGATTGTTTCTCATTGCTCACCGGGCCACTCATTAAGAACAATGTTTTGGACTTTTAATAAGAAGTTTGTAACCATTCCAAGCATGTGTCCTTAAAATAAGAGAAATCTCATGCGTGGCTAGAAAAAACAGTACGGGAGACTCAGAAAATTTTTTTGAGGCTTTTTAGCCACAAAACAACAAACTAAAATTGGAATATAATATTTTTGAAACAGTAAAGACCTGTGCTAAATCCTCATATTGTACGGCAGATTTGGAAGGAGAAATAATTAGGATCTTAGAAGATAAGGAAGCATCTTGATCCATTTTCTTTTATGTTTTTTTTTCTCGTGTAAATTAAAAATGATAAGATTTAAAATAAGCGAGTTAAAGATTTCTACTTATCCATTGGTCCCGGGATGTTGGTTCGTGGAAAATTTGAATTAAATTTCACTCATTGGAAAAATGCCTTACTTTCTACTTGACAGATTGTGGACTGCTATAAGCTATGATAACAAGTGGTACACCTTATTATCGCATCTGGTTGAAATTCCTACAGTTAAAGGTGAAGTTACCAAGAGTTTTGGCTTCAATTTATTTATTTAAATAATCAGTCATGATCAAAATGAACTTCATTGTTCATTATGTTGATGGGAATGAATTGAGAAGATACATCCCTCAAACAAAGTGCAACTAAGGAATATAAATGGATGGAGTGCGTGTGATAGTTGCAATTATAAGGGGCCAAATTTCTGATATCGTATGCATTTTTTTTAATATTCTTCTGAATCTTATCTTAAAGCATACTAGGAATAGCCTTGGGGAGGTGCTTGTTGGGTGAGTGTCCTTCCAGTAGAGTGGTTTTCTTTCTTCTCTGAGTGCATTTCCTTCAAAATATGAACAATTTCAACATCATGAATGCACCTCTAGTGAGGTGCCAATGTTGACCTTCTGAATAGAAGATTCTCTATTAAATATAGTACTGGGAGGCGTTGATTTTGAATCCCCTTAGATTGTTGACTCGGTTGGGCAATTGGCCAATCACTATGTATTCAGCAAAAGGTTTGACCCAACTTAAGAGGACTCTTATTTGTATTGCCACTATTCTCCAACCCTAGGATAGAGCAATTCAGTAAGAGTGAAGATACTAGGATCTTCAAATTTGATAGAAGACTAGTGACTTGATTATGTTCTTTTAAGATTTGCTCGATTTTAGTACTCAAGTTGGCTGATATTTTACTTTGATCTTAAAAAAAATAATTTTGCATGTGAATTCTTAAACCTTGTATTCGTCATTGATGTAGTTGATGACAAGTAGAGTCTTAAAACACACGTCTCCAATCATCCACAATTTCCATAATTTTGAGCCAATGTTCACGACATGTATCCTCCCAGTTTCTTATTTATGAAAAAGGCAAGAGTGAAAAATGAGTATTTATTTGATATCAGACAACCGACACTTTGGTTATACAGTATTATTAACAAATCGCAAACAAATCGCAATTTCTTGCGATTTTACATTTGCTTAAACCATTTTATATTAATCTTCTAGCTTGCCCCCTAAATTCTTTACTATGGTAAAACTTGAAGCATTTGTCGTTGCAGCACGAACGAGATACATAATGGAGTCTGAACAGATACGCCGTTCGATGGAGCCCATGGATTTAATCAAAAGAGTGAGTGATTTCATTGAATTTGTCTAAGAGAAATGAAAGAGCAGTGCTTTCAAAGGCACTTTTTTCTCTTACTTGTATAACTATTACATGTTTGAAAATTGGTGCATTTACATACATAGTACACAATTCTTATGTATTTACCTATATCATACGTAAACTTTCATATTTATGTACATCGCACTCAAATCTTTAGTATCACATAAAAATAGGCATCAAAGTGCTCTGTATGTAAATAGGAAAGTTTAGGTGTGGGATATGTAAATATAAAAGAATTCTGTGCTTGGTTGTAAATTTCCCTCGAAAATTTTGCTTTAAAATGTTTTGATTTAACATTCCAGATCAAAGAAATAGAAGAAGAAGCATACACTGAACCCGGCGGGGAGACTAAACAAGTGCCTAAGCAAACTGCTGCAGTTGATCTGTCAAAAAGGTTGAACGATTTAAGGGCAATGAATGATGCCAACAAAGGTGATTTTTTGTCCCATGATTAGTCGGTTTAAGCATTGTGCTAATTCTGTTTATTTGGTCTCTTGTATGGGCTCATTTGATTGCTTGTGATTAGAAAATTTGTTTTAGAGAAGGTGAGTTCATTTTCAATTATTTTGACTCTGAAAATTAAATCATCAATTGTGTTAATTTTGATGCATTTTGTAGTGTTCTGTTTAAAATCAATGTGTGTTTCTAATCATTTTGAACCAAGTAAGAAAAGCAACATTTCTTCTTGTTTTACAACATGCTTTTAAATTTGAAGCAACCAGGTGAGATTTAAATTAAAGACAGGTTTATGAAAACTTTGATTTTGCTTTCTATGAAAAAATAAAATAATTATTTTTGAGGGAGTTTTGAGAAAATTTGTAGAGTTTAAAATCAGTGATGATTTCCAACAACATCCAACCTAGGAAGGATTTAAGAAACTTCTTCACAAAGTATAATTTCTAACTTTTGACAACCAATTAATAGAACAAAAACCATCATTACTACTGAGATTGTCCTCATACATAGAAAAAATAGCAATAATCTTTCTACGTTTTATTTTTAATTGTCACATCATGAATCTTTTCATTGAACAGCTCTGGAGGAATGGAGGAAAAGGAAGATGGAGCGAGCCAGACAACGCGAAATTGAGAGAAATACGACATTGACATCTCAAACCTGAGCAACATCATATCATGTAATCATGCAATTCTATTTATAAGATTTAGTTACATACCACGCAGTTCTTATATATTTGCATCTGTAACACCTAAATTATTATTTATCTATATGTATATGCCACCTTATTGTTACGTCCGTTCCTAAACCACCC